TTTAGATGAATTTTGATACATGTATACGCCAATGAAACCACCACCACAATCAAGATAGCTAACATTTCCAAGTGATGAGTTTCATTCATCAAAAAGGATTAATATATAATTTTGCTTTCTGTGCCCTCTTTTCCTGACAGACATTTTAGTTGCAGTAAAATGGAGAAGCTTGAGTTGGGATATTCTAGTCCTACCACTCCTCAACTCTTCCAACCTTGAGTACGTCACTTAACTCCTGGACTCAATTTCCCTGCCTGAAAAATGAGGATAATAGTATCTTTTCTCCCAAGGGTGCTGAATGTGAAATAACATTACAAGCATGACTGTGACTATCAGCACAGTGTCTGGCAACTAGCAGGTGCCCAAAAGCGTTCCTTATACCTCAATCACCTGCTTAGTTAACCTAACAAAAGCCCTTCTCTAAGCTTCTTTGCTTTGTGCTAATACTTAAGAAAGGTGAATCAAAGCAGGTTTCTGGTCTTTTTTTAAAATAGTTTTTTTTTAAATCAATTACAAACATTTTATTTTATTTTATTTATTTTTTATTTTTAAATTAATTTATTTTGGGTTTTTTTTTTGGGTGGGGGGAGGGAGGTAATTAGGTTTATTTACTTATTTCTTTATTTGAACGGAGGTACTGGGGATTGAACCCAGGACCGATGTATACTAAGCATGTGCTCTACCATTGAGCTATACCCCTCCCCACTAGGTTTCTGGCCTTAAAAAAAAAGTAAGAGGCATAAGAATGCTTTTCAAATTTAATTTTAAGATGCTTCTTCCCTTTAAATACATTCTTACCATAATGGTATAATACTTGCCTATGCCTTGAATTTCATCTGTGAACCCAAGGCCAGAAGTATCCACCGTTGCCAGAAGGTGGGGTGGGTGGGAGGAGTGAGCTATGTCTAGCCAGCCCCTTGCACAGAGGTACACAGATGTCATTATTGTGGCTGCTTCCCCACCATCCAAGCACACTGACATTTCCCCTCCTCCCTGTCAATTTTTAAAGCAGGAAACAGCTGTCAGACAGCATACATCACAGAGCAAAGCTTTAAACAGGAGTCCATCTCCCCACTTTAACTGACAGGGCAGGCGCACTCATTCTTTTGTAACTGCTTAGCCCACATTTAC